CGACCCGAGATCAAAAGGTACTTGTAGCCGGCAAAGGCCAAGAGCGATGAGAGCCCGAGGTATATGGCCGTCTCGATGACCTCGGTGGCAGAGATGAGCACCATCGTAGCGGGTTGCTAGCAAAAACAAAAGTGAAAATCTGGGAACAAGTGGCGACCGTCGCAGTATCTTTGGTTGCCGTAATCACCTTTCAAGACCAACAGTAGTGCTCAACGATGATGGTGGCATCGTGAACCCGCCGACGCGACATTGAGCGACCTAGAAGATGGGATGCTGGGATAAGATGACTATTCAATGCATATGCGTCTCGTGGTTGCTGCCAGCATTGAGAGCCGCCGTGCTGGCCGCCATAACTTGCGGGCCGTTCTGCTGCTTGCCACGCTGGTATCCAGTGATGGAATGGGATCGATAAAACAGTTCCAGTGCATTCATACCGTGACAAGGAGCATCGTAGGGCGACTACAACGCCAGACGAGCCCCCGCACCGCCGCCTTCGCAGCCACAGCCCGGCGAACGAATGAAGAAGAAGGAGATTGCTAGTCTCTACGTATGCGAAGTCTTTGTAACAACGAAGATAACACGAAACACGTTCATATATAACGTTATATAACAAGAAGCAACACAGGAAGAGCTAAACAAACTCTTTGGGCATCCTTTTTGGCAAATGCTCCCAGAACTGATAACGATTGAACGCAAGCAGCACGAGACACGTGCAAAGAGGTGCACGCGGCTGCCATTCCGAAACCAATACCACCAATGCGCGACTCGTCAAACACGTTGGCCTTTGCTGTTCATAGGCGCAATTGTGGTGTCTGTGGCACGAAAGAGCGGCGGAGGTATGCAGCGTCGTGGCCATCACATTCATCTTTCGGAAAGTTTGGGCGCACATCGGTTACTTAGTTGGCTAAGCTTACGAGTCACTTTACGTAATGGCTGTTCTCGACAGAATGATGGTGTATCCACCGTCACTCTTGCGACTGATCGCTAATCAAAACACACCCCGAGCCCATTCAACTTGATGCGATAGATAATGAGGTCGTTTATAACATTTTCACGCGGTCGTTATCTTGTCATAACTCGTAGAGTTAGTGTGTCGATCACAATGTGACGCCACTTGCTTGCGCAAAGTTATGCGGCGAAGGTATGCGGCGGTAGTTGGTAGCGATACATATGTACTACGCTCGGTGGCCGGCCAGGAATACAGGCGTGTCAAGCACTGCAAGGAGACAAATTATTTGCATCGGGTTATTGAGAAGAGATGTCGTCACCAACAACCTCGTCTCAAGAGAAAAGAATGTAGAAATTATCTGTATAAACCATAATTCATACTGCTATTTTGCTACTCGACCATGTACCTGTCGCCGTACATTAGCGTAAGGTACTTGTCCGAGCGTGCGGGACAAAATACGTCAATGCCGTCGATGGGGCACCGTTGCAGCGGAAAGATCCAGTCGGTCGGCACGTTAAAGCGGCCTTCGTCGGCGCAGTACTTGCA